CGGGAATACCCTCTTAAGCTTTACAAAAATGGTTCTGAACTTAGATTATTGTTATGTGTTTGTGATGTAGTTTTTCTTTTGCTATTGGGAGTGTGTCTGTTAAGTTGTTGTGTTTCAAGTGTCTGCATAATTCTGGTATAACCCACTACTCAGCTACCCACGAAAACACCCGCTAGGTAAAATTAAAGAAAAACAGATAACACCAACAACCGTTCTAGAGGGAAACATCAGCCCAAGGGCCACAACCACAATATGTTATAACACAACATTGCCGCAATAGACATTCCCGAAAACAAAAAAAGCACAGACAACACGACAGGCTAAAAGTATTTAGACAAGAACAATTATTTTTTTTATAAGTAGTTTTAAAATCATCAAAAAGGAAATTAAAAATTATAGATCCCTGATGATAAATCCGGACCAAAACGTCGGAACAAGAACATTGTAGTTCGAAAGATCAATACAAATTAATTCAGTCGTAGATCAGTAAGCTAAATATGTTATCTACCAACTCTGTAAAAAGAATATGTGGATTTAGAGTGATTTTGTTGCATTTTGACTTAGTTTCATGCTTAAAAAGCACATTTGTCTACATTATTTGTTTTACGACGATTTTTTGCCATTAAGGTTGTGATGGATGAAACCCACTGCACTACACAGTCAGGAAGAGCGGCTATCAGATTAACAAAACAAAGTAGCATTGCTTTTCGAGCTGCGAAAAAAAAATATTGTTGTAAATTTTATAACTTAAGAAAATAAACATAGCTGAGGGACAAGCTAAACTATTTTTAACTTTTTGTTTTGATAGTGAAGAGATGCGTGTTGGAATATATTATACTGTTAAAAATAAACACAGTGATTATTCATTTCCTTTAAGAGTTACGCCTTCCGTTTCAACTTACCCCGCATTTCAACTTGCCCTGGTGTACACTAAATATTTTTGTATGAAAGTTGAGGTTTTTTTAAAACTGCATTCCTTCAGAATATCAATTCAAGTTTAAGAAGATAGTTGATAACGCTATCTTAGCCAGCACTAATAGGACCTTGTACATTTAGTTTTGTTTGAAACAGATCAACATCTAGCATTGTTAAGAGCGTATATTAAAAACTACAAAAAATATATTTGATTGTATTATTTTTTCACACGTTTCATATATATCGTGTATGCCAGTTTTTTTTTGCCAGTGTCTCCTAATTCTGATATCTATACATGGCATTTTATCAACAATAAAATATGCTTAAGGAGCAGTCAATAGAATTTAATTTAGTTTCAAGTTTGTGAGAAATAAGCATTTCATAAATAGGAATATGTAAGCGTTGTCAAGTCAATTGAGGTAATTTAAAGTTTAACAAATTAACAAAATTAGCGAAGTTCAATCATTTTGGGTCCAGCTGTGAGAGCTGCCTCTCTGGCATCGGTAGCATTGGTACTCAGTACGGAAAACAAGATCGACGAAAAACAAATCAACAAAATAAAAATCATTTTGATACTTGTGATTCTCTTAGTGCATAGTGAGGTTCACCAAATCTCAATTTTTTATTTGGATCGGTCCACAAACAACATAATTAAAACTGTTTATAAATGCATTGCCTGAAAAACAACTACTCTTAGAGTTAAGTGTCCAAATAATACTATTTACTATTCTTAGCTAAAGGGATGGGGGTAGTATTTTTTTTTTTGTAATTGAGAATTAATCAGAACGTAATTAAGCCATGCCAAATGCTACTAAGCCGACTGGGATTCAGCTGAACGGGGCACTAAGTCAAATGGGTAATTTGACTGAAATTGATACTTCAGTTATAGTTTGGTATGTATCGTCCAAAACATATTTCACAAACATATAATAAAAAAGCATTCTCACCAACAATTTCGATGCCAGTATATTTCAGAACCTTAGGGTTTGTTTTAAGTTGTACACTCATGATTTTTCTATACTTGAATTCTATGTTTTTCCTGACTCTGCAGGACACACTGCATTTGCATTTCGTTGACGTAAATTTGACAAATAACCCATGCGTTTACCACGCACACACAAACGCAACGTTTTGCGTGGCCCTTGAATATATTTGTTTAATTTTCGTTTCTGATATTTTCATGGCTTGATTTTCCTTATCATTTCCATTGAAACCCTTCAGTGGAATTCTTTTGAATTTCTTAAAGAATTAACGTAGATTTCATAGTTGCACTAGAATAAAGGGGTTTCAAGGAATCCTATCCAACGAGCTCATACAGATGATTGATTTGGCAGACGGAAAATCGTAACAAACTTCGACTTTTATAAAAGAATTCCATGACTTGAAAAAAAAAACTAGATCTAGATCAATATTTGATGTTTTCCATTGTATAGTGTAGTGTCGTATAGTGTCCCATGTTAATTAAAATCAAACTAAATTAACCAAATAGCTAGATAAACATTTCAAAATGTCCTATCTGCATTGATCGATTCTCTTAATCGACTTTCTCTTTCGCTAATAACTCAACATCAAAAGCATTTCCTGCTGTGTTCAATGTTCTAAGCGCAAAATAATAACTTCTGCTATAAAACTTTGTGGCAAAATAGCACGAAATGTGTTTACGTAGGCGTGGTTATCGAAAGAGAAAGTCGATGAAGAGAATCTATCAAAGTACATAGGACCTTTTGAAATGTTCATCGAGATAGAAAACACGCTTATCGTGGCAAAAAACAAAATTTAACGACAAACGGTAGACAGTTTTACCCTTGAAAAAAGCCATAATAAACGGCCAAAACGTCGGACAAAGCATACCTGACCGTTTGGATTACCCTAGACTGAGAAATCCATAAAATGAAATCTCCTTACATACCAGTCTAACAACCTATTAAAGCTTTATGAATTACATACACCCACTTTGGGGGAGCGAGCGATAGTGTTAAGAAGAGAGGAGGAATCTAAAGACAAGTGATCGATCTAGACGTAAAATCCATACTTTTCGAGATTCCGAACAACGCTCGGGATGTGAAGAGTGGCCTCGGAAAGAGAACCCTCTTCATAAAAAGTTATTAAAAAGAAGTCTATAGAAGGGAGGTTGCATAGTGAAAATGCACCGTTTTAGCTTTAAATTTAAAAGATATTTTTCACTTGATATAAATTCACTATAAATGTTCTTACATTGTGGAAAAAAAATAAAAATGTAGCAAATTTTTTTCGTCGTTACTGGATTAAAGTGAAATTTAAGGCGTGCATGCACATCCTGAAAAGCTACAGCCATTGAACATTTTTGGAGAGAGAAAAAGCACATTTGCCCAGTATTGTACATCAAGATCAGATAATAGGTTCCTATCTTCAGCAAAAACGTTAAAAACCAAGTGTGATGATTCCTAACTTATCAAAACCAACACGTAGCTTTTGTGCATCTGAGAAAAAAATCCAAAGACTGCTGTCAAGAATGTTATATACATGCTATAACTACCTAATGAGAGATTTTTAGATTGAATTGATTCTTATTAAGGAGGATTTGTCAACCTGAGCAACAATTTTTATTTTTGCTCAACTTTGACAAAAGTTTGCTTCTTCAAATGTACTGAAGCTAGAAAATCATTTCGTAAAAATTTTGTACGAAATATTAATTCTGGAAAAACTTGTTTGTGCGTTAGTCCGTTGTAAGAACTGCCATTACACTTGTTGTAAGAGAAAAAAATCAGAGAATGTAAGAAATCCACACCCACACTTAATGTTCATGCCATTTGTTTTGCATGAGCTTGTCAAATAAATTATTATTATTATTATTATTATTTTTATTATTATTATTATTATTATTATTATTATTATTATTATTATTATTATTATTATTATTATTATTATTATTATTGTTATTATTATTATTATTATTATTATTATTATTATTATTATTATTATTATTGTTATTATTATTATTATTATTATTATTATTATTATTATTATTATTATTATTATTATTATTATTATTATTTTTATTATTATTATTATTATTATTATTACAGTCCATTTGACTTGTTATAATCAATGAAACACTTAAATCTAAATGTAGTCACTCATTAAAAATTAAAAATTGGCCGACAGCAAACGATGACGAAATCCGGTTGATGTCAAAGTCAAATAGGTTAGATACTTCGTTGAATTGATGAATCATGGCGACAAAGGAACTGTGTACTACTTCATGTAGCAAGGCTCAAGGACAGAGTGTTCAGGCAGGAGCATACAGATTAATTTTGGCCAGTAACTCAGTAACATCATATTCTGCGAGCAAGACTTAGACTATATATCAAACACAAATATACCGGTAATTTCTAGAAAACACTTCAGTAAAAAAAGACTAATACACGTATAAAAGTTGCTCAATAGTAATTTAGGTTGCAGAAACAGATTCACACAAACTAAAATGAATGCTCATGTCACAAAAACTTGTCACCTCTAGTGTTCGTAGCTGGCAATTTGTCACGGTAGAGCAAAATTTAAAAACCGCTGAAACAGGTACAACTCTGCGGAATACAAAAACAGTTTGCTGACCTTTATGCAGCTGAACAAAACACAGAACGTACATACCCCGCTCTTTTGGCAATAGAGCGCGTTATTAATTTCGCTCGTCTCTAAATCCAAAGACTCTCACCGAGACTAGTTTCCTTCAATGCGGAGTTAACTCATTGAGCCGTCAAACGAAAGCAAAATCGGTTTTTCCTCCTTTATTGTTTCTCTTGCATCTTCGAAATTCCACCTTGAACAACACTTTCAGAAAACTTCATTTTTATCTTCCAACCTTATTCGCCTTTGTAGTGTGTCTGCTGCTGTTGCATCACACCGCAAGGCCGTCCAGTTTCGGATCAGCAGTCATGCCATAGAGTAGCCCCAAGAACGTGGAATAAAGAGTTAAAACATGATTGGATTCATTCACCTTTCACGCGCGTATGGGGGGTTTGATTGAGGGATAACCGTTGTTAGATTAGACATTTTCTGTGAGTTTCTCTCAGACCATCTGGAACCAAGAATGCGAATATTCAACTTACTAATTTTTAACGCTTCTAGTCAATGATGCGCGTCGCGTGCTATCTGTCGACAGAAGATAAAGAGGCAGCGTGGTCCAAATTCAGGTGGGCAACAGTGATGGTGTAAGCTAAGGTGCTAAATAGGTATATCCAAAATGCTGCAACCACAAGACAGCAATCTTTCAGTATGTGTGTCTATTAAGCGTGTCACAGAAATCGGATGAATTGGCTGAATTATTCTCACTTTTGCAGATTGTATTTACACACCACTAACACCATTTCTTATAACTTGAACAATTATTATGTAATTGATCTCGCGTTGAAATAAGTTTATATCCAACAGATCACGTTTGTGTTCCAAAAAATATATAGGTATGTTTTACAATCCACGCTATTATTATTATTTTTATTTTTTCGTTAGATTTATACACTGATTCGCCTTGACGGTTTATGCACACCTTTACCACATTTTTTTTCTTTTCTTCACGTCGTTAATTTCGTGCAGTTTCACAATCACTGAACACTTATGGAGAAAAAAAAGTTGTCGATTTCGTTATTTATTAATCACAACTGGTCGCAACCGTTAGAACTTTTCTTATAACAGTCAAGCACTCACAGAGTAACAACGACAACACCAGATCAAGTTGTTGATTTAAAAGATCCAAGATTGAAATAATACATAAAGTATTGCACGCGCGCTACAAAAAGAGCAGGCACATCAAACCAAGGAGCAACTATCGCGAGCTAGAAAGGCACACCTGATCGTTTCGAACGCAGTGTTAAGACTGAGACTGAGAAATTGTGGCCTGGTGCTGTACAGCTTAGCAATAGCATAGAGTTGGCTCATTATACTTCGAGCTATTTTTCAGATTTTTTCTCAGCTGAGCAGCATATGTATGTACACAGACATAATTACCAACTCTTGTCACTGCAATACACTACCGATCGAAATAAGTAGTACAATCTAGAACACAGTGATGGGACCATATTCTGGAAAGTTCGAGCATTTTTATGATTTAAATTTTACTTTGAACGATTTAAATTAAGAATGTCAGTGAAACTTTGTGTTACAATCTATAATAGCCGAAAAAATGTTACATTGAAGGGAAAAAAAAACTCTAGCTCAAGTTCCCAATTCTGCGCACCTACAGTGGTGGCCTTTAAATTAGCACAATAGACCGATTTCACACAAACTAGACAACTTTGGCATGTTGCAACTATGTTTTGTTATGATCAATTGAGCTGAAATTTTGACACAGAACTACAAATATGCTGAATTTTGCGTGTACGTAATATCAATTTTTTCGGAAGCACTTGCCGGAAATTGACGGGCTGGTTGAAAATGGCCAACTAATTAGCACATTTATAATTGGAAATTTCCGAAGTGTTATAGTTTTAAAATGTTCAACCATATTGCCAATAAACGACGGCGTGCTTAAGAAAGTTTTTTACGATATGGTCAAAAATTTCCAAAATAATAGACTGTCTAATATGTCATCATTATTTTGAACCGCTTACAAACGAACTTAATCAAACTGCATTGAACATAACTGTTGATTTTTCCAGACCCTGTGTAGCTTAATTATTTATTATTATTTTTGGATAGAAATAGGACCAAGACTAATTTAACTTACCAGTTGTGGCAAATACTTCCATTTTTCTACTAGTTTCCACTTTGAAAATTGTAAAATGTAAACTATGATACACATTTTGGCAAAAATTCAACTTCAAAACCGATTTTCGACCTTTTTTCAGCAATCATTTTTTAAAATGGTTTTTGTATTAAGTATGAAACTGAAGATTAAATGAGTTTTAATATACTAAAACGTATGTTTTTTTTTTCCTTTTTTATTGATTTTTCAGTACGCAGACCAAAGAGACCCTAGCTTTTTATAGTTTTTTTTTTAAGCTCATACTTTTTATTTATCATATCAAAAATCCAGGAAAACATTTTTCCCTTTTTGAGGTATATTTTTTGAAAATATTAAGTTTTATGTTTTTGCCTCAAAACAACCATGCGTCTCCATTAGTTCGAAAAGACTGAACTTTCATGTGTTGATTGATTTCCTTCATTTAGGAGATTTTCAACCGCAGGCTGGTTCAACTCCGAAATATTTTGTTTTACTTCTTTTAATATGAAAGTAGTACATCTTCAAGCCTTGTCAGTAAAGTCATAATATATATTGCCAAATAGGAGGTGGCAGGTTCGATTACCGATGCGATCTTATGTTTATTGGGAATTAGTTAGATATTTCCTGACAATATGTGGAAATTAAAATTTAACACCAGCAAACCATTGAATTCATTGGTTTTTTTTATTAAGTTCATGAAATAAAATAAAACTAGCCTCTTATTTCTCATTTATACATTGTGTATTGCTTTATTCTACGTAACCGTAACATTTAACATTTCTAGAGATAATTTTACAGTTTTACACGTGTTTCTTCTTCCGAAAACGAAAATCGTTTTACAATAATATAATTTTCCGGAGTTCCGGAAATATGTTTTAGACGAGTATGACGAGTTTTGATTTTCCTATCCACTGCTTTATAATCTGATTCTGAAAAAAAACTCGTAGTGTACTTTTGAATCTGGCTCAGAAATTTGCCGTTGTCATGAGATGCCCTTGTAAACTTGCTCTTGCAGCGTTTGGTTTGCAAAACTCCTCCCAATGCATCACATGAACATGTAGCATGTAGTGGAAAAATTCCACTCCACATTAAGACTGAAGTTTTGTTTCCATATGGCACAAATTAAAAATATTCATCTTATTTTTGCAATGGATGCCTGATCCATTGGAGAAATAGTGTTAATTAATTAATCATTGGAGAAATTAGTTTACTATAAATTTTGCCTCAGGGTTGTTCGCTGATGAGACAGGCATTTCCGCTAAAGAAAAAATTCTTCGTGTGATTTACAGCAGATTGCAGAAAAGTTTAGATATTGTCTATTCTTATTTTTTTTAATGGAAGATTTCTCCCAACGCTTTTCAAAACTCAACTTATAATATTTACACATTACCTAGTAGTAGTCACATAGTCACTATGAGCGGAGTTCCTAATTCTTGGCCAAGTCAAGTGAAATATCTTGGATTAGCACTTGAAAAAAAAAATTTAAAGATCATATTGAGGGCATTCAATCCAAATGTAAAAAAAAAATATAAAATTTGTGTATCCTCTTATAAACAGGAAATCCAAACTTTTCCTGAAAAATAAACTTCTAATATTTAAACAAGTTTTTAGACCGACCCTGCTTTATGCTGCGCCAATATGGTCTAAAGGGTTGTCCAAAAGGGATTTCCTAACTTTGACAGTTCATTACGGCCATATTGTTGAAGCTTTAAGTGAAAAACTAGCTGTCATTTATTCAGTGTGTCTTGCCAAATTACCATGGAGATTTATAGCAATTTAGGGCCACCCACATTAGATCCGTTTGCGTTGCGTTGACGTTAATTTGACAGTTAGACAATAGATTTAGCTGTCATATTATCGCAACGCGTCCGATCCGGATCTCATGTGCGTGGGCCTTTACAGCGTCCAACAGCACGTGCAAAGATAAAATTGTTTTATCAAAGTAAGTGTTCTTTGCGAGCAACGTTCGCCAAGACCGAGAGCGCAATGTGGTGAACAAATTCGAGGAAACTGGTTTGGTGAACGCTCAACCACCACCCGTACGTCAACAACGCATGGTCTGCCGAGAATATCGCCACTGTACGCGAAAGTGTGCATGAGAACCAGCGGCAGCCGATTCCGCGCCGTGCACAAGAACTGGGCCTCTCGAGGGCTTCAACTTGGCGAATTCTGCGTAGAGACTTGGGTCTGCACCCATACAAGATCGAATGGACCCAGGAGCTCAAGCTTAACGATTTTATACGGTGCCGTGTGTTCGCTGATTGGGTTTTGCATCAGTTGAAAGCAGACTCCGATTTTGCCCGAAAAATCTTCTGGATGAACGGGTATGTGAACAAGCAGAATTGTTGAATTTGGGACAAGGCCACACCACACGCAATCTACCAAGTGGCAATGCATCCCCAGAAAGTCAATGTTTGGTGTGCATTTTAGGCTGGAGGCGTCATCGTTCCGTACTCTTTTGAAAACGACGCTGGTGAGGCCATCACCGTTAACGGAGAGCGCTACAGGTTAATGATTACCGACTTCTTCTGGCCAAAAGTGGACGATATGGATGTAAACGACATGTGGTTCCAACAGGACGGTGCAACGTGCCACAGAGCGCACGAAACAATCGATATTCTGCATGAGCTATTTTCGGGCATGGTTATTTCGCGCGGAGGCGATTTCACTGGCCACCAAGATTGTGTGATTAAACCCCGCTAGACTTTTTCTGGTGGGGTTATGTTAAGTCGCAGGTATATGCCAATAAGCTGCAAACCACCGATGCCCTCAAAGACAGCATTACTCAAGCCATCAACGAGATTTAACCCGATTTGTACGCCAGAGTCATGGAAAATTGGACATCTCGGCGGCCATTTGAACGATGTCATATTCCATACATAATGGTATTGATAAGCCTTCCAATCGAAAAATAAATCTCGTCAATATCTCACACACAGTTTGTTTTATTCAACAAGACAGGAAACGCTTAATGGAAAACCCTTTAGTTGTTGCACTACCAGGTATTTAAAAGGGCTATCTAGAAAAAAAAAGAAAAAAAGAACCTAAGATCAAATGAGTTTTAATATGCAACCACATAAAAAAACTTTTTTATGGATTTCACAGTGACGAGATTAAAGAGACCCTAGTGTTTTAAATTTTATTTCTAGAGATCATACCTTTTACTTATCATATCAAATATTCAGGAAGGCGTTTTTTTCGTCTATGGGATATATTTTTTTGAAAATACTATGTCATATATTTTTGCCTCAAAAGAACTATGCGTTTCCTTTGGTTCGAAGTGACTAAACAAGCATGCGTTTTTATTAATTTAAAATTACCTAGGACACAATAACTCTTTTTAAAATGAAAGTAGTACAATTATCAATCAAAATCGCAGAATTCATAATATCATTATAACTTATAATCTATGATTTCGCAAAACTTTTTCAATTTTAGCGGAGGCATATTTAGGTCTATCATTTCACAGTCTTGTCATGATATGTATTGCCAAGCAGGAGGCGGCAGGTTGGATTTTCGATTCGTTCTTATTTTTATTGGGTAGGGTTACGGTATGTAATGTGGGTCTAGTCCTTTCATTCGGCCTATCACGCAAATAAATAATTAATTAAGGAATATTACACAAAAAATAAGGAAAATATTGATCACTGATGATTGATAAATGTGTACCACACACAAATCAATTTATATCACAACATTTCAATACATTTTCAGCTCTCGTAAGTAATAAAACTGGTTGAGAATATCACTCTGTTCGGAGTTTTTAGCCGCCATGACTTCTAAGGTTAAGATGGGAAGGTTGCACTGACGATCATCAAATGGCCTGATTATGGCATTTATTGAATGGAATTACCTGATAATACACACTAGACGTAAAACTCACAGTTACTGTTTGAATATTTTATGTTTATTTTAATTGTTTAACAACGTTTTCACAAGTAAATCATGGACCCAACTTTAGGGACACATTTCTTTTCTATGTTCCTAACTTTGGCCCATGAAATTCATTTGACAGCATATAGCAATAAGAGTAACGTCAACAATGTGGTTTGCATTTGGATGATAAGGAACGAACAGGAAGGGAGATTTTTTCTGCCAAATCTGTATAATGAACATCACAATGTTTTGATTTAGATATTCTGCGGTCGAAAGA